AGGAAGGAGGGGGGGCAAGAAGAGGGGAGGGATCCAGGTGGATTTGTACATACACAGATTAATTTCTACAACAGAAAAAAATTGCAATCTATTCCTCATTGGGTTTAATTCTGTCAGTTAATTTAATACACTATTCATGATATAAATAAGCAACAATCACTTTTCATAGACTCAAAGGGTAGAACCTAAGGATAGCAGCAACATTAGCTTCTGTCAATGCACGTCCTGCTAACTACAGCCACTGCCACTCCAGTTCTGGTGCAGAAATGCATAAAGCAAGACCCAAATCAATTCAGGATGCCATTCCATTTGTGCATTTCATCAGTTTAACTTTTACTGCACTAGCCAACAAAGCTCTGTTCTCTTGAGTCACAGTCTATGTGACATTTAGTCATTGAAAGAAAAAAATCTTACAATTATTTCCAAATAAGAAGTGTGTCCATCAGCAGCCTCAACTTTTTTTTTTTTTAATAATTATTTTTTTCTGTTACTTTTAACTATTCTTTCTTTCCTGTTCCTTTATAGAAACTTCACAGAAAGAAGGAAATTTACTTTACAGATTGATTTTCAGGGAAAAGCAATAAATCTGTGTAAAAGTGCTATCATCACAGGTACAGAGTAAAGAAACTCAAAATAATAGAAACTTGCTCCTCCTATTTATTTCCAATTTCAATAATCTTACAGTCAATTGTAACAACAGGAGAACAAATATTTTAAGACTAAAGCGTGCTTTCAGAGTTGGTCATAATTCATAAAATGATAGATTTCATCTGTAGTTCAATAAACACCAGAATACCTGGCAAAACTCTTGAATAAAGAGCTGCATGCTGCAAGCAGATAGACATGCAGCACCGAAGCCAAAGGAAATTGTGGCTGTAATCCTGCAACTGAATCTCTGCAGATGGCATCTCCATGCAGTAAATGGGGCTTCCTATAGGTGCAACGGTCTGCCTGTGCAGATCTGAGATCTGAATTGGGAAGAATGTATGTAGCTGCAAGTCCCTTGAGTTGTTAGACTCTGGCTTTGCACAGCATTACTGCATTGTAATGACTACATTTAGAATTAAATGAACGCAGGGTACGCATAAATAAAATTAAATATTTGTGATGTGGCATTGTGTTTCAGTAGATATAAAAATTCTACCTAAGAGGATGCTGTTCTGTATTTTCAAAGCTCTCTCTCCAGTCTTTACAGCCTGCCCTCAAGTCCTGAATCTGCTCCTCTTCAAAAACTTATGTGGATTGTTCCAGTTAAAATTAACGTTTCTCCCTGCCCAGACTGAACAACTGAAAAAGGCTTGTCACACACAAGCACTAAGCTGAAGCAGTCTATTCTTCTTAACTCAGAAGTCAGGTTGAAAACTCAAGGACATACCAAATAGGCACTCTAATTAGGAGTGCTGATATTGTAATACCAATGCCACTTTGGGGACTGGTACATTTCTGCCTAAAATGCTGGACTTCACTGTCAAAAAACCAAGGTTTGTGCTACCAGCTCTACTAATGATAGCAGAGTTACTACTCCCCTGATAAAGGGCAAAACAAAATAAAACCTGCACTCTGACCACCTTCCTTATCTTTCTTTACAACTTGTTACATTTATGGCTTTCCTGCAGAGGCAATCTGGACAGGAGTGTGTCTTTTTCTCCAGAAAAGTGTCATAAAGTAGATTATTTCTCACACCAAATCTCAGCTCTCTGCCTACTGAGTCTGTTCAGAAATCAACATTAGTTGCCTCTACAGTTGCATCAACGACAAAGGAGTGCTCCTCTCAAAGCCATGATGCAAAGCCATGCCCAGGATTTGAACCCAAGTCCCTGCTATTTTTGCTAAATAAACACCTTTGATTATTTTTTTTAAAGGAATTAAATCTTGGATGTAACTTTTTTCACTTCTAACCACATGTACAAGCTCCATCTACATTTGCATTAGTCCACTGCTGCACAGATTCATGTTGCTTTACTAAGGAGTATTTAGCTACCAAAGGAAGGGAAAACTCAAATTTACTTGTTGCTGTTGATTGTATCATGCACTAAGACTTAAAAATAAGAAAGTGAACGAAATAAAAAGAAAAGAAAAGGAAAAGCACCTGAATGGTTCTGACTCATGTACATCTAAGGCTGCCCCTCGTATCCTTCCTTCCTTCAGGGCCTGTGCAAGTGCTTTTTCGTCTACTAACCCACCTCGAGCTGTGTTGACCAGGAAAGCCCCTTGTCTCATCTAGGGAAAGTTAAAAAACAAGAATGATGAAATAAAAATAAATGAAATAAAATCGTTGTGGCATTATTTTTTACTCAAAAGAAGCATCTATTACAACAAAGCTATTCAGCTGGTTTAACCTCTAACAGTTGTCTTCCCTTTCCATTGGAAAGTACCACAAAATGTGATGCTTCTAACATAAAATGCTATTTCACAGCACTTAATACCTTTTGTTTCTTGTAAGTAGTGTCATTTAATAGAAGCGTTGTTTCAGATATTGTGCAGTAACATGATCAAAAGATACAACTGTGCATACGAAAGTGACAGATCATTTTATGCCTTTTTATTTCACTGTGAAATTGCATAAGACAAACTACAGCACATTCTTAAACAAATCCATATTTTGTGGTTTTCATCTTTCACACAAATAAAAGCCTACATGAATTTTTCAGAAAAATCAGTGCTTTTGGATTTTCAAACACTTTTCCCTTTACTTGCCAAAACACAGTAGATCCATGTTTTATTTATTTTTGCTACTTCAGCTTCCTCCTCCCTGTGTGACTTTTCAAATAAAGGTCTAAAGAATTCGTATATTATTCAATTAAAAGGCATGAAAATGAATTTGGTTGAGAAAGCTGTGTGCCCAGGAGAGAAGCTGTGCTGTGCATTGTGCAGATTAGCATTGCAGATGACACTGTGTGGGGAGAACTAGAAGAATTTACACCACAATATATCCACAACATGAAAACAAAGTGGTGGTTTAAATAAGAGAGATGGTACAGAAAAAAATAAATTACTACATCCTGCTTCCAGCCACCATAACACTTCATCTTTCATCAGATGTCTCAAACACTGCTACTGATCCCAGAAGCATTTCTGTGCATGAAAGCAAGCATATGAAGAGCAGGAACTATGGTGAAGATGAGTGATAAAAATCTCATTTTGTACTGAGTTCATCTCTCAAAGTAAACACAAGAAAACCCCAACATTTTGACACCAAGTCTACTACTACTTGAAACCTATACATCAAACTAAAGCTTATGTAAATATATCCTTACTCTGAAAGACTGATTTGAAATAACAAATTCATGAACAACAAGAAGGTTTGGATGAAAGTCAGCTATGAGAATTTGTTTTACATGAGATCATAGGAAATATTAAACAATTAGTATGCATATGCTTGCAGTTAAGGTTGTAAGAAAAAAAACACAACCATGTTTTAATGGCAAACTCATTGGCTTTAGTGTGGCTTTGCCTCTCTCCATTTGCTGACTTTTGGGCTTACAGGAGAACCATCTATCGGTCTGTACAGTAAAACCAAAGTCCACTTACAGGAGCAGAACTAAAGGATACTTAACTAAAGGAAACTTCTTTTAGTTTTATGTAACGAACTTGGGAATCAGAAGAGTGAAGAAATGGTGGCATGATCTTAAATTGGTCTATTAACAACAAGATGTTCCTGATGGGAACCATCACTGCATCTCCACTACTCGTCAGCTGTGGAGAACTAGATCAAAACTAGCAGAGGAAGGCTCACCCAAGTGACAAATACACTTTCTGTGCAGACACGCCAAACAGGCTTCAAGGAGCTTCCTACCCTTCCTACTTCTGTGCTCTTGCATAGAGATAATCTGAGTTTTGAGCATAGCCTAGTGTACTTACATGTCTGTTGAAGGACTTGAAAATCTTAGTAAAATCTGCTAAAATTTTCTGTCCAACCTTAATAACCTTGCTTGAGTTTTCATTTTAGGACTATTTACAAAGCTCTAGAGCTAGTATTAAGACAAGTCCAAATCAAATAGAACATGGCTGCATAAATACATTCTAGTGGAAATGAATTACATGACTCATGATAAACTGTGAGGGTGGATGCAGATGGAGATGATCCTTAACAATGGGTGGAAGTTTGAAAGAGCTTCACAGCTAGAACTGCTGACAGCTGTGAAATTCACCTACACTGAACCTGCATAGCTGCTTTAAAAATGCACTGCCTTTAAAATACAGCGTCTTCTTCTTCTCAGAGCTGTAAAACTAAAGATGACCTCACCTTCTCTGAAGAGCACTTGATTACCCTGGGTTCAATAACACAAGCTTGGAACACTTCTCCGTGTTACTCTGGGATGACAAGGCCCAGCACGGTTGCTAGGCAGAATGCTGACTAATTCAAGGGAAAAGCTACTGAGAGAGAAGACTGACAAATTTTCAAAGATATTCTAGGGTTATGTAATTTCAGATTCTAAACAAAATTCAGGGTGAGACTTTAGTGAAATGAGATGTACCGTACTTCTCTCTACTTTGTTTAAAAGTTGGATTATTACATGAGCATGCAATAAAGGACAAAAGTGGCATGCAACGCTCTCTAAAAATTTCAGGCCAACTCTAACATCCGTCAGCCTAAACCAGCCACTCTGTTCTTTTTGATACATGCTCAGATCATCTGCTTTATGCAAACTAAGCAGAGGTGTTACAATTTTATGGTTTGCACATCAGCTGTTACAATAGAGACTGCTTCATCCAAACTTCTATCCAAAGCAAGAACTATCTTCTAACATTTTAATCCTTGCCTTCAATCATGAAGGATAACAAATAGCAAAATAAATGCTTATGATATCCTTTCCAGTAGAGATTTTATTATATGCATTTCACTTCAGATGGTATCACTCAGCTTTTAACCCGTTTTGTTTGTTTCTCTGATTAATGCACTAAGCCTTCTCCAAAGCTCACTGCATTTATCCACCATCACTCAAAAATTTCCTGTGACACACTGGCCCAAGTTTCACAGTGCGCTGTATAATGAGTGACCACTGTTAAGCCTCCAGACAGTCCCACTGAATTCAGCCTAATTCTATTTGGGTCTAGAGGTCTGTTTGCAAAGATATCTAACCATGTAATAACCATTAAACGTACCTGAGCACACAACAAAAGAGAATGTTCAGGGCAGGGTGATAGACCTCTGTTCTCTTAGGAGATCTGCATTTTACACTTCTTAATTTTTTTAAAGTTTTAAATCCCACACTCTGATTTTATTTTGGGATGGATCTGCAAAATCCCTGAACTCTCAAATCAAGAAGTGTGTTATACCATCAGTTTTCTGCCATGATCCTATATGACTGTGGAACACATCCAGTAATTAAATCAGTTCTCCTGAAGTTCAAGAGTAGTAGGTACAAACTATTGCTCAGAAGCCAAGCAATGATTTTACTGCAAAAGAGTGCTACTGTCGTCGTTATCCATACACACAAACACTACATATATAAAGAACAGCAAAATCAACTATTACATGTTAAGAGTTTCTTTCCTGTACACTATCTACATTCTTACAACTCAATGTTATAGTTCTTGCTGTTACCCACACTGAGGCTGGAGAGTCAGAAGCTAGGCATTTAATTAAAAAGCTTACTATCAAATTAGTCAATAACGGAGCAGTTACTACACCTAGATTTTGAAATCATTTTAATATTACCTAAAGCTTTAGGGAGAGGTTAGTACTAATTCCAAGAAACATTATTTTTCCAAATAATGCAATGCTGTAAATGCGATCCATCCATGAAGCACTCTGCAAGCATCAGGACTGAGCACAGGGGGGAGCCATTTAGTCATAATCCTTAAATTGCATCTAAAGAACTCAAACTGAGGAACAAGAATGAAAGGCAGAATTGCTACCTGAAAACACACAGGTAAAGGAAGTAGCTACTAGAAGACATAGAAAAAGTGCTTTTCCATAAATTCAACTTTATTAAATCTGAACAACATTAAGAAGAGCAAATTATTTCCACAGATGCAATGTTACTGAGCAAAAAAGACAATAAAAGCAACAATACATAAGCCATCAGCTATCTCCTAATCAGTTATAAACCTGCTTGATCTTGAAGCAGCAAAAGGGAAAGAAATGTCTTTCAAATGGGAATCTGCCTGTTTACATAAATAAACACTATACAGTGTCAGCCATCAGCACTGGTGTGAAGGGTGCCCACAGAGATTATTACCTGCTTTATGGTGAAGTCATTAATAAGATGATGATTGTGTTCATTCAAGTTGCAGTGCAGGGTAACACAGTCACTGTGGAACAGCAGGTCCTGCAAAGTGCTCACCCGCTGCAGTCCCAGAGCACGCTCCATGCCATCTGAGAGGTATGGGTCATAGAAAATCACACTGAAGCCAAAGGCTTTGGCACGTAGCGCTACTGCTTGCCCAACACGCCCTGGAACAAGATAAACATGCAATGAGAACAGATGTGAAGCAGCTGGTGTAAGGTAGCCTCCTCCTTCTTACTGCAAATGCTCGTATCAAACCATACCGTTTCACATAGCAACTGGAAGAGGATAAAAAAGAGGCAGCCCCCAACCCATCTAAAATCATCACTAAGATCAGAAATGTTAAACTTGGGCTTTTTCACACTGCTTTGCTCAAAAAAAAGCAGGAGGTGTGCATCTATTGCAACCAGAGATCTGAAATGCCAGAAGATGTCACGTAATCTGCAATAATCTGTGTAATACAAGGGCTTGCCTGCTGGGCCTGTTTACGGTAAAACACTACTGCTTGTGAACACATCCTGCCAAGGGCTTATTCTTACCCATGTCAGACCAGCTGGCTTTAATAAAAAGCTATAAAATTAATCCTCAAAAATGGATGCAATAAAAGATAATTTGTTTAATCTGAAGCTCAATCATTCTCGACGCATGGAATCTCCTTTCTGAACTAGTATTTTCTTTCATTTTGAGTAACATCCTTCAGCGTTAAAATGCTCTAAAGAATCCTGTCATCTAAGGCTCTAAAATATTTTGTATCCATCTACCTAAATGATGAATAAATACAGTCCATCGTACGGCACCTAGTTAGGAACACTGTGGGTACTACGTGGTACTCTGTTCCACTTTCCTTACTGTCATATTTCAGAGCTGTGACTGAAATTGCTGTTTGGGCATGACTCCATGCCACATGTATCAGGAGGTGTGTATTTCCCTTTGTCACACTACTAGTGAAACACAGAGAAAAAAAGTGAGTACATTTAGTGAGTAAGGATATTGTAAAGAATGAGAACTAAAACACTTTTCAGGTTAGAAGACTAGAGTATTACAAATGTTAGATAAAGACATTTCATTTCAAAAGCAACACTAGACACACCATAATAACCATGTCTCCTTTTAAAAAAAAAGTCAACAAGTTTTCTTTTGTAACATCTGAGTTTGTTCAAAAAAAAGCATCAAATTAACACAGGGAAATCCCATCGCTTTCCAACTGTGCTTGAAGGGATTTCCCTCTGCTTTTCAGTTTCTCTTTGAATAAACTTAAGAAGCCACAGGAAGAGAGTTTTTTGTTGATCATTTAACCTGAACCCAGCAATTCTGCAGCGCTTAGTGACAGATGTGCTTGGAATATTAAGCAGGCTGTCAATCTGATGGGGGCTGTCTGCTTTCCTTTGGGGACATCAAGTTAAAATACTCTTAAAAATATTTTCTTTCATTACTTGCATACATGTTATTTGTTTGCTTTTCAAGCTGTTTTTTTATAAACTTGAATTAGACAATTTTCAGCTCAAACACTGTATTATTTTCAAATTTTGGCATGTTCACAGCTCGAAGAATCAGTCACACAACTGTAAACAACTCTTTTTTTTTTTAAAAAAAAAAAAAAGAGGAAGCCTATCACTTTTACTCCAGCTCCAATAATTTTCACATGCAACATTCTGTCATCTGTTCTTTTTTACACTTTTTACAACACTAATACCTGAGGGGATTCACAACAGTGAAATCTCTTACAACAGACTCTCCAGTTAAAGCTACACTTTCTATTCATTGCAACCAGGATAATAAACCAAAGCCTCTTCTGATGTGAGCAATGTTTCCTTCTGAAACACTTGGGAATCACATGTGTGTACTGCTAGCCAGAATTGCCCTACTACAATTATTTTATGCAATAAAACTCTTCCACGATTGACAATTCATATTTAGTTTTAGTCATCAGACAAATACAGAGCTGGACACATAATTTGCCAATTCCTTTTTAAACTACAATCTGACAGTATATTAGTACCACAAACCTGTAACGGTTTTCTCCTTTCTGGAAAAACTTCTATCATATAAGACTCTCCTGGGTATGAGGGGTGGCTCAAAACCTACCTCAGCATATCAAGAACAACAGAACAGTACACAAAGCATCCCATCTTTGAGAAACCTCTATCTTAAAAGCATAGACAATTGGTATGGATATTCATGGCTGCTTGCAGGGAAGGAAAATTAGAAGTTCAAAATACCAAATGAACTTCTTGGTCTGTAGTGTGGGAAGAATGCAGAAAATGCACATTGCACACAATTGCAAAAAAAGCAGAAATCAACAAAAGCCTATTTTAGAAATATGATATTTATACAAAGCTCTAGCAAACCCCATGCATCATTTCAGTGACACCAGAAGTGTGAAGAGGGACTCTTCAAAAACATCTGGGTCTCCTGTTACAGTCTGACCCATCTACTCCTCCCAAGTCTCCCAGCTCCCCTCAAGTCTCCCAGTTTGCAGGAGTCTCTGACCTTGACCTTGCCAGTGACCTGATCTCAGTGTGACAGTATAGTAGTTGCAGTTGACAATGACCCCTGGCCCAGCCCTTGGGCAAAGAATTAGCATCCTATGCTGGTATTACAAAGTTTTATAAAATGCCCTTGATCCCATGGAAATGCTGATGACCTGACTGCCAACTTCCATGGAAAGAAAAAGCGCTCTCACTTAGCAGCTCTTTCCTGTCTATGCAACAGTAATGGAGAATCTGGGTAATTTTTCCTCCCTCTTGGAGATCTCTGAAATGTGGAGAGTGCCATTCTGTTACATTTCCTGCT